ATCCATGACGCAGGGTAAGAGAGCACCGAGGCATCCTCTGTGCACGCAGAGCGCGTCGGAGAGAAGATGGCGAGGGTGCCCGACCCCCTCCTCCAGCAGAAAATCGATGGCGTCGACGGCGTTGTTGGCAATGGAGCTGCGCAAGAGGTCGTCGTCGCGGAGCTCGGGCTGGTTTGCCCAAAGCTCCAAGACCACTCCAAACATACCATGCACAAGGGCACACTCGATGCCAGTGAGCGTCGCGCCTTCGCTTCGATGGGCCATGAGAAAATCGACGATGGCCCAATGCTGCTTGTACGCGGCTCGGTCGATGGCTTCAGGTGCCGACGCTGCGCCGTGGTCGTGGAGGTAGATGGCGACGTCCATGTCGCCTCGCTCACAAGCGTTGATCATCCAGGTAGCGTCAAGCACAACACCACGCTCGATGAAAAAGGCTGCGATTTCCAGGATGCCCGACGTTTGCTTTCTGATGACTTTTGAAAAGTACTCTGCGGCGTTCTCCAGCGAGCACCCGAGCGAGAGAAAGTGCATGGCGAGGAACACTAGGTCCGACACGGGCGCGTCGACGCGCACGGTAGTGTCGGTCGCGCGTCGATTGGCCACAAGGTACCGCACAACGTCGTCGTGGCCCAAGTAGGCGGCTGAGAACGTAGCCATGATGGCATTATCCAACGTCCCGAGCTCGTGCAGGTAGATGACGACGGCCAAGTGTCCATGCACCGCCGCATTCTGAAGCGTCGTCCGCGACGGCACTTGGTGGCACTGCTCAATGAGGAAGCGGACGACGTCAACATGACCATTCGTAGCGGCCGCGTCCAGTGCGGCCAAAGTGCAGTTGGCACCTTGCGCGACGAGGTCGATGACGATCTCCAAGAGACCTTGGGCGGCGGCGTCGTCCACGAAGCCGACGTACACGGCTTGTGGCATGTGCTTGTACAAAAACGCAATGGCACGCGGCGCATAGTAGAGACTGGCCAAACGCAGTAGACCGTCCGGCCACTCGAGTTGGCGGCGACGCCACAGCAGTGCTAAGACATCCGCATTGTTGGTCGACAGCAGCGCGGCGGGCAGCCAGGCGTCCAGCGCCCGCGAGACACAACCCAAGGTCTCGTCGTCAAAGTTGCGGTCGACAGCGTGCGTCTGCAGTAAAAAGTCTGCGATCTCAAGATGGCCAGTCATGAGCGCCGCCTCGATGGCTTCTTGGTACACGAGGTCGGGGCGGCAGGCGACGATCCGCTGCGTCGCGACCAAGTCACCTTCGCAAATCGCCAAGTGCAGCGGGAAGCGAGCGTCGCGCGTGCACAGCGTACTGAGGCACAAGCTTGCAGCGGCAAAGCCTTTCGTCGAGCCAACGTCGTCGACAGGATAGCATGTGACGAAGGTCGCGTCAAGAGCGTACTCGACTTTGTCCGGCCGCCGTGTGTCGTCCGGAAGACGGTCCGCGAGGTGGTTGAAGTCGCGGAAGCGAGACGCGACGTCTGCGTAGACGCCAAACTGGAAGCCGAAGATGACCGATGCGATCGGAGGCTGGGCTAGGACGACGCTGGAGAAGGTCGCCATGGAATCGAGGTGTGGGCCAATACTTGCGATGTCAACGCTGCCTTGTGATTGGGTACCATCAACATATCCGGAATCAGAGGCCCAATCAAAATGAGTTTTTCGATTTGCGATCTCCAGTCACCTCGATTTGCATCCCTCCAGCGAGGCGGCATGGTGTCAATAATGACCCATGGAGGCGGTCAGCCGACCCAAACTTGATAATTTATCAAGTCGAGAGGAAATGTCCGGATATATCTGGAGGAGCTTCGACAACACATTTGGTGGCATTTTACGATCGGCATGGCATCCCTCGATGTGATGAGCTCGCCGTCTCTGGCGCAAACAATCTTCAGCTTCCAGCGCGGCAAGTCGCTTCGCATTCTCATTGGCGCTTTCCTGCAAAGCTGCGAGAAGCTCGAGAAGCGGGGCTTTGAATACAAGCGGCTCGGCTGCACCGACGTCCTGCACCAGTTCAAGTGCATCTCTGCCTCCCGCTGAACGGGCCTACCGACGCCCGGTACCCGCTACACTGCGCGATTCTCAGCGGCAACCTCCGCATCGTCGAGTACATGCTCGCGTACAAGCATCCGACGGTGTCGCCGGCGGCCATCGACTGCGCCTTCATCAGCGGCCACATCGACATTGTTTGCGCGCTTCTGGCGGCCCGCAACACCGTGCGCCAGCTTTGCCGACCAAGCGACGCGACTAAGCCGAACGACACGCTCGTCGCGCAGGTGCTGCGCCACAACAGCGAGCTGCTGCTCGAGCTCTTCGCCGCGTACACGGACGTGCAGTGGGACGGCGAAGCGCTGCGGGTCGCGCTCTCGTCTGAAAAAGTTACCTGCGTCGAGTACACTCACGGCAGTCGACACGCAGAAGGTCTCCCCTGCTTTGATTTTGTGTACGCCCAGTGCCGCGACCGACCGGGCGCACTCGACACACTCCTCGACGACGCTGCTCGCCTCTCGCCGCTCTACATCGTCCAGCGCTTGCACGAGGACGGATTAGCGTGCACGAGCTTCGCCATGGACGCCGCAGCGCGTCGCGGCCACTTGGACATGGTTCGTTTTTTGCATTTGCACCGCACCGAGGGGTGCACCGTCGCTGCAATGGACACTGCCGCCGCGCGTGGCGACCTTGCAATCGTGCGCTTCTTGCACGAGCATCGCACAGAGGGCTGCTCGACCAAGGCGCTCGGAGGCGCCGTCGCCAACGACCACAAAGACATCGTGTGCTTCCTCCTCGATAACCGTGGTGAAGCGTGCTCGCCCCGGGCACTCGACATTGCATTGACCAACTGTCGCTTCGAGATGGCCGAGTACCTTCTCCAGCGCTGTCCGCACCTGACGTACGCGGACCACGGCTGGCACATGACACTGCTGCATGGCCCCCTCGACCTCATCATTGCGCTGGCCATACGCCAACCCTTGCGCCCGGCACCGTACACGCTAAACAAGCTTTTTGCCGCCCAACGACCGGAAGTGGTAGCTGTTCTTGTCAACCACGGTCTCATCACGTGGACGTTTGACGAGGTCTATGCCGCAGTCGCTGATGAACCCGGGACACTGGAGCTTGTGGCCACCTACCCGCGCACTCGCGATCTCGTTGTCGCGGCAGCGCTGGCAAAAGGGCTCCTCCCGTTGGCCCAAGAGCTTCTGGCGCTGGGCTTTCCTCTGTGCGTGTCCCTCGACACACCCATGATGGCGTGCCTTGGGTCGGACGCGGGGCTGCCGACGATGGAACTTCTCGTTGCGCACGGTGTGCCGCTGCAGGCGTCGTGGCTGGACCGGGCCGCTGGCGAAAACCTGGCGCTTGTTGAGTACACCCATACGCACAGCAACGGCGCATGCTCGGTGATGGCACTCGACTCAGCGGTAGCGAGAGGCCTTGACGACGTCGCCCGCTTCTTGATGGCCCATCGCACTGAGGGGTGCTCGATGAGCGCGGTTCGGAGCTGCATCACTCGCGACGACGACGTGCTGCTTTACGAGCTCTGCGCGACGTACCCGAACGTGTGCGACGAGAGGGCGCTCATGGCGGCCATCACCGAGACGCCGCAGCAGAAGCTTCAAGCCAAATACGTGCGCTGGTGGTGCCAACGACGAGGCCAAAGCGACCGCGACGCGTTCGTTGCTGCGCTCGACTTGGGTCTAAACAGCTGGGCCTTTCAGAGCCTCTTGGCGTCGTGCTTGTCGTCAAACGACCCCCGTGACAACCTCGTCTTCCTAAGCAGCATTACGGATGCAGTGCTCCAGCGTGGGTTGGGGCCCCGTAGCTGGCACTTGCGACGCGCGCTCGAAGCGCAGGCCTTGTCGAGTACCGTACGCACCGACGCAGCGGCTAAGGCATTGTTCGAAGCGAACGAGCTAACGGCGTGGGCCCACTACGTGCTTGACGCAACGTGTTAGTCAGTCGTAGTTTCTTTATGGTTTTCTAGCTGATATTTGAATTTCAGTTGATTTTTGCCCGCGGATCATTCAAGCGCAGAGAGTGATAGCTGCGATGATGAATATCACATGGCTGGACCTTACATTACGTCGTACAGTGTACATGGTCATTGTGCTACGTTGTCGCTGTACGTGTATCCCTCGACACCGGCAGCTCGTTCATGAACAGGATTCTTGATGCCCGCCAGAACACGTCCGTGCGATCCAGTGGCATCTTGTCTCCCTCTTAGCCTGCGTCCAAGCTCCACAGCTCAGCACCACAGCTCCCTCGCACCTCCTGAATGCAGAACGAATGCAGCCATTGGTGTCGCAACACAGATGATTGCGAATCGAAGATATATCAACATTCGCTCTCTGACGAACGTCGTCACTAGTAAATTTGCCACCAGCAACACAGAAGATGCAGCTCAAGAACGCCGTTGGCATCGTCACGGGCGCCGCCCAAGGCCTCGGCCTCGCCTTCTCCAAGTCAATCCTCGAGGGCGGCGGCCGCGTCTTCCTCACCGACATCAATGACTGCGCGCTGGCCGAGGCGGCGTGGGAGCTCCAGGCCCGCCACTCGGTCGACCGCGTCGGCTACGCTAAGCAGGACGTCACGGACGACGCGTCGTTTGACGCAATCTTTGACGCGGCCAACAAGCACTTCGACGCCGACCTTGTCAACCTTCTCGTCAACAACGCCGGCGTAAGCTGCAAGTACCACGAATTCTACAGCGAAAGCACGGCGTGGCGCAAGACGATCGAAGTCAACCTCATCTCCGTCATGCGCGGGACGCAGGTAGAGATAGCATCTCGCTGCGCATGCTAACATGCCTGTAGGTGGCGCTGCACCGCCTCGCCAAGCCCGGTGTCATCGTCAATGTCGCGAGCGCCGCCGCGTTCCAGCCGACGCCGCCGATCCCCGAGTACGGCATCACGAAGGGCGCCATTGTCAACTTCACACAGGCGATCGCGCACCAAGTCCAGGACATCCGCGTCACGGCGTTCTGCCCCGCGTTCGTCGACACCCCGATGGGCCAAGTCGCGCTCAAGGGCTCGCCACAGGTCGTCGAGGCGTTTGGCGGTCTCCTCACACCCGAATACACGGCCGAGGTCTTCCAGACGTCGTTGCTGGACGAGACGAACGCCGGCAAAGCGCTCCTGGTGACCCCGCGCCATGTGGGCTACCACGGCGACAAGCCCTAGCTAGTATAATACATCAGTACATTTGTCAAGCGTGCCTTGACCGCCTTGCCCAGCAGCGGCCGGCCTTCGAACGACCCGCGATCGTCGGTCGTCGCTTCGTTGTTGAAGTTGGCAACAGACGTTTGCATCATCATCTGGCCTGATTTTCACACGTTGTTTTTCACGTGTGAAAGGCAGCTCTTCACGGTTGCCATCATTTCAACCTGGGAAAATGACCCTCGAACACGTCGTTGGCATCGTCACGGGCGCCGCCCAGGGCCTCGGCCTCGCCTTCTCCAAGTCCATCCTCGAGGGCGGCGGCCGCGTCTTCCTCACCGATATCAACCACACGGCGCTGGTCGATGCGGCGCGGGCGCTCGAGACACAGTACTCGGCGGCGCGCGTCGGCTACGCAATGCAGGACGTCACCAACGACGCGTCGTTCGATGTAATCTTTGACGCAGCCAACCAGCACTTTGGCGAAGACCATCGCGTGAACCTGCTCGTCAACAACGCCGGTCTCAACGGCAAGTACTTTGACTTTTACGACGACAGCCGCGCGTGGCGCCAGCTCGTTGACGTCAACCTCATCGCGGTCATGCGTGGCACACAGGTGCCTCTCTTTACGTCGCGCTCTTGTAGCCATCATCGCTGTCTCACTAGGTGGCGCTGCGCCGCCTCGCCAAGCCCGGGATCGTTGTCAACGTGGCGAGCGCCGCCGCGTTCAAGCCAACGCACGTCGTCCCCGAGTACGGCACAACCAAGTGCGCCGTCGTGCATTTTACGCGCGCGGTGGCCACGCACACGAGCGACGTTCGCCTCGTCTCGCTCTGCCCCGCCTTTGTGGATACGCCCATGGTACAGGTCGTGCTGCAGCATTCCGCGCAAATGATCGAGGCTTTTGGTGGCCTCATGACCACTGAGTACGCGGCCGACGCCTTCAAGAAGGTCCTTCTCGACGAGACGAACGCGGGCAAAGCGATGCTCGTGACAACGCAGTACGTCGGGTACCATAGCGCCAAGCTCTAAGATCTTAGAGATCGAAACAACAAAACGACGTAGTAGCTACTCGGTCGCACCGGTTTTTTACGACAGATATATACGCCGTGTTGAGCTACTAGTACACGTGCTGAAGTGCCGAAGACGCTCGGGTTTGGTCGTTAAAGCGAGCCGATGGAGAGGGCTTGGTCGCTCGATTCGTTGGCGGCGCCGATTTCAATACATGATCGCAAATAGCACGTGGCAACAAATTCCCTCGGATAAGTACAGTGAGTCCACGATAGCCTCGCCACGCTGAGTCTGAGTCTTCCTCTGAGGGCAGGACATCAAGCAGAGGGCAGAAAAGACGCCGCCGCCACGCTGAAATGAGTCCTAACTCATTCAACGCACTATCCTATCGAAGCATACTGGTAAACATGCCTCGCCGTGTCGACAGATCAGGTACTGGATAGGCGAATTGATATTGAACACACCGTGGTTTTCTCAGTGAAAAATGCGTGGCGTGGGAAATGCAAGCTTCAAGTCAAGCCGCAGAATCCAATATGAACCACGTGACGGCGATCATCACCGGTGCGGGGCAGGGCCTTGGCCTCGCCTTCGCGACCGCGCTACTTGCCCAAGGCGCCCGTGTGCTCATGACTGACATCAACGGCGACGTCTGCGCCGCGAGCTGCCGTGCGCTCGAGGCCAAGCACCCCGGACGCGTGGCCTCCTTGCGGCAAGATGTGTGCGATGAGAACTCGTTCGCCGTGGCCTTTGACGAAGCCGAGCGCTGCTTTGGACCTGTGAACGTCCTGGTCAACAACGCTGGCGTTGCCATCCCGATGAACGAGTTTTACGAGGATGCAAGCGCCGCAGGCTGGAAGAAACTCATGGAGATCAACGTCGTCGCCGTCATGCGGGGCACGCAGGTACCCTGCTCCCACAACATTGGTTTCATCACATGGAACTCTATGCCTAGGTCGCGCTGCGTCGTCTCGCGGCCAAGCCCGCGCCGGCGATGGTGCCTATTGTTGTCAACATCTCGAGTGTCTCGGCCATTTGGCCAGTCGTCGAGCTGCCCGAGTACTCGACGTCCAAGGCGGCAGTGGTCGCGTTCTCGACGGCTGTTGGCAAACACATCAAGGCGACCGGCGTCCGCGTCGTCTCCATTTGCCCGTCGTTTGCCGACACTGCGATGGGTCGCGCGGCCGAAGAAGGCAAGCCGGGTATGACCAAGGTCTTTGGCGACCTCATGACGCCCGAGTTCGTTGCGCAAGGTGTTGTGCAGCTCATCACGGACGCCGACAACTCGGGCGGCGTCATGATCGTCACGAACCGCGGCTTCAAGTACCGCGGCGGCGGCGCCCCCAAGTCCAAAATTTAACGATAAGAGACTTGGACTGCGACTGCGTACCGTCCTCCATCGGCCACACCTCTTGGCGGCATCGAAAGCACGTAGCGCCACTGTCAATGCCAGCAGGCAGGAGCTCGACGCCGTACAGTCACTTGCGCGAGTGTCCTCGCGGTATCTAGATGCATGCGACATGGCCGCTGCAGTCCACACACCCGTCACAGCAACGAACGTTGTGACCGCCACCACTAGTACCATCGACGTTGGGCAAGGTAAACTGGTGTCTTTTCTGTTTGTAGCAGTCCACATATCTGAGTAGCGCCTTGCGCTCTCCTACCCCAGGCAAGGTCGCCAACCCCGAACTATCTAGGATCGCAATAGATCCAGATGTCTCGTCGTCAACTTCAACCACCATTCTAGAAACCACCGTCCCAGTACCACGAAGATGGCCACATACAAGGTCCTCCCAACGACTGCCGCGCCGCCTGCGACCCACCGCGGCAACGCCGACCGCTTCCGATCGTTTGCCTTCGGCTACGTCCACGCGATCCTCTTGAGCCTCCAAGTGCCCGTCTTCAACACGTACTTGCGCTTGGAGGGCTACCAAACTACGGCCTACGCGACGCTGATCACGCTGCCGATGCTCTTCTCGCCCTCAGCGCACACGCCACAGCACGTGCTTCTCGGCTGGGCCCTCTCGGCTCTCTGCCTCGGGCTCATGGTCGTCGAGCCGTTTCCAGCGCCGTACTGCGACGTCCGCTTCGTCCTCTGCCCACGCGGTCTCGCCCAAGCCGCGGACGAGCGCTGGCCGCATCACAACACCAATGCGCCAGCGAGTGCGGCTGTCTACGTTCTCTTGTCGACGCTGGTCGTGCTCGGTGCTGCTCTTGGCAGCGCGCCGCGGCCCACCTGCGTCTACCGACACCTTGGCGCTGCCGTGGCCTATGCGCATTCCGCGGTCGTCCTCAATGGCTCCGCCTATGGCGGCTCGTTTGCACTAGCACTAGCACCCAACACAGCCTACCTCCTGTGCCTGGGTCCTGCGCTCGCTGCGATCGCGACGGGTGGCGCCACCACGTCGCGTGCCGCAACACCGAGTGTCTGGGAGCTTCTCCAGCGACGTAGCGTGCGCCAACTCTGTTTCTTTGGCTTTGTCTTTGGCGCAACCAGCCGCTTCGAGTCGACAGCTCTCGCGCCCATCGCAGTGGCCTGGGCGTCCGTCGAGCCGCTCAGTGACGCCGTAGCTCGGCTTGTGGCCACGGCGCTGGCGCTGGCGATTGCACACGTAGTCGGAGCGCACGCCTCAAGCGGAAACTGGCGGCGGATACTGGTCGGTGGATCGATCCTCGCCGTGCTCCTGGACGCGACCACGGTCTTTCGCACGATCTGGCCCGGGCGCCGTGATCAGTGGGCGTTTGCCGGCGCGCGCTTGGCGTCGGCCATTCCGATCGGCCTCGAGCTGGCCGTGACGCACTGGGTTTCCTCCGACGATACCGCGAGTCTCGTGCTCGCGAGCGCATCGCTCGTCGGTGCGGCCGCTGGAGCGTCGCTGGCGCGCCTTCTGGATACGATTTTCGCGCCCAGTCAGCTCGCTGTGGGCCGCGACGATGCGAGCGCGCGCTGGAACGTTTCGCTGAGCTTTGCAGCGGCCTACGCGATCCGACTTCTTGGGTTGTGCAGTCTTGGGCTGATGCCGGCCAACGCGAGGTCCGTCGTGTCGCTCGATGCAACGAGCAAACGACGGGGTATTCTTCTTGCGTCCGGACTAGCGTCTGTCGCCATCGTCTCGGCGATACACAGTGGCTTGGCCACACTGCCAGCAACAGCCTGCTATCGCTTCGTCGGCGGTCCTGGCGCCCAAGTCGATGGCTCGTGCGATTAAACTTTGTAACATTAGCGAGGCTTTGAGCTCGGCAAGCGGGAAGCACGAGCGTTGGACTTCATCCGCAGAGGTGGCGTGGCGCTTTAGATGATGCGCGCAGTAGTTTTAGTGTCTGGCACAAGAGCCGCGCCCGAGACGTGACCACTGCTACTGCTGTGGCTTATTTGTGCGGCTGGGATCGGGGCGGACGCGCGCAACATCCATGTCAATCAAATCAAAAATAGGCAATCGCAACGACCACCTCCAGCATATGATATTCCATATTCGTTGTGAGAGACAAGGTGCTCGACAAAGTGCGCCGGCGGATGCCAGCAGCCAAATGTCCACCAATCAGAAGCAATTTATTCGCCCACAGCCACCAATCAGATCGCTGGTTACCACAATGATTCCAGAGATTTGGCAGCCTCGCCCGTTTACGTGGTGTACCAGCATCCCAGGGGATTAATTCGATGTGTCGTGTCTCAATCCGGCCAACCCATTGGCTATATATCGAGCCATTTTGTCCAATGAAACGCAGTTTCATTGGTCTAAGCCAATCGCATCGCGAAACGTGTCCAGTGAAGTGCGATTTCGGTGTCCCCGTAAAGTGCTGTCCATTTTCCGGACGTTATACTCGATTGAAGTATAACAATTGCGCTGAAGTGCGCCTGCGTACTTAACCGAAATTCACGCAACTTTCCAGTTAGGTGCGATTGCAGAAGCGCGCGAAGACTGCAGCAAGCGACGACGGCGCGTTGGCCCGGAAAAGTCTGCGCACGCAGCGCAGCGAAGGTCGAGCGTTGACTTTTGTCTAGGCCAACGCGCCGTCGTCGCAATACCGTTAAATCAACGCTTCGCATTCAATACAAAAGTTCCCACCAGCTCACCCCGGAAGGGACCTGTTAAACTATTTTGACCAATGAACGATGAAAAAAGATTCAACATCACCCCACCGCTGGGCGCTGAGCAGCTCGATGCCAGGATGGACCTCCAAAATTAAATCGCTCGGGCTTTGCAGGACAATAGTGTACACGCTGGCGAGCCCAACGCACCGCGCGGTGTCGTTGGCAGCGGCGTACAAGCGTTAAATTTCCCAAAAATCCCGACCACAACGCTGACGTTGACACGCATGGCGTACTTCTGTCAATAAAAGTTTTCGTCGTCGAGGAGAATGTCGCTGCCGACGGCCATGTCGTCGTCGTCGACCACGTCGCCCGCGTCGTTCTCGAGCGCGTCGACTTCGGTCGCGAGCTTCTCGGGGAGCGTGTCGGCGAGCATCATGGCGCTCTTCATGGACGACTGCAAGAGAAAGTAGCAGAGCAGCGGCAGCGAGTGACACGCCGACGCGATCTGCGCGGCCGCTGCGTTGAGCGCCGGGTGGTTGCGCAGCCGCACGTGCATCGAGTAGTCCTCCTTGGTCTCGACCTCAATGTGGAAACTCTCGCCCTCCAGCACGTCGCTCGTGAGCTTGAGCGTCATGGACGTCGGCGCCGCGACCTCGACCTGCATCGCGACTAGACGTTCTCTGCGTCACCCTCCGAAAAGATCGCGTAGCGTACCTTTGGTCATCGCGCCGTTGTCCATCTCGAGGACCTCGTTGCGGCCAAAGACGTTGCGCGGCCCGAGGAAGCAGCTCGCGAGGATCGACTGGAAGAAGAGGCTGTGGCCGACGACGCCAAAGATGCGCACGAGGCTGTCGGTGGACGCTTGCAGCATCTACGACCACCATGGATGGCGCGCCGATCACGAGCAGCAGGTTTACCGGAATAGGAAACGCGTGGAAATGGACGCCACCCGCAATCTCCTTGGTCACGAGCGCGCAGTCGAGGACGAGGCCCATGTTCTGCGTCGCCGAGAGCACGACGTTGGTGCTGCCCTCGCGCACAAACCGCAGATGTGACTCGAGCGAGATCGGGAACGCGCTCTTGTCTTCCTTGGTCTTGGTCGCCGACGGCGCCTTGTTGGCGAGCTCCATGAACGCCTTCTCGCGCAGCTCGTCCTGGTACCCGAGGATCGTGGCTGCAAGCCGGCGCGACTGGATGCCCGACATGATCAGCGGCGTGTCGCAGAGCACGTGCATGACCACCGAGCTCTTCCACTCGGTGAAGGTGACGCAGCCGGTCCACTCGCGCCAGCCGCCGCGGTCGGCGCTCGCGTCGCTCACGTCCTCGTCGTGCGACCGCTTGGCGCGCTTCTGCGGCGGCAGCGCCTCGTCAAAGAGCGGGAAGCACTGGAGCTCGTCCTTGAACGTGATGAGGACGCCGTCGACGCCGCGTGCAATGCTCCATTTCGGCTACCATCCCATCGTCAGCGGTCGAGAGTAGGGGTCGAGCGTACCGAGCGCGCGCAGACTTGCTGCAGCATCGCAAACATCTCGTTCTCGAGCTTGTCAAAGTTGGCTAGACACTGTCTGAGACGACGAAGAGGAAAGGACGTTGTAGTACTCTGCGGGAACTTGACGGCGAGCTCGGCGCGGTTCACGAGCCGGTACAGCTTGGTCGTGAACGGTTGGCTGTCGCCGGCCACGAGCGCCTTGAGGCTCCGGAGGAGGTCTTCGTCGCGCTCCGGAAACTGACTCGATTGCTCTACACCGATTCCTTTGGCACGAGGTGAACGATGGTGAAGGGTAGGACCTTTGATGACGGTGACGAGCGTCGTCGACTCAATCTCGCCCTACATACGACAACGTGCAGCTATCGTCGAGAGGAAGACAGGACGTACGTCGCCGCCCGAGAGGATAATGTCCAGCACAAACGTGTCGCAGTAGATCGAGATGGACGAGTCGTTTGGCTTCAAGACCTGCAACAACGGTCGTCAGCGAACGAGCGATCGCGCGACTCTACCTGCAGCTTGACAAGAGGACGGCTGAGCGCGGATGCGATCTTGGATACCTCAAACATGACCTTGTACGTCCCGACGCGGCCTTCGAGCTCGGCCTCGCGGAGCCCAACCTCGAGCTCCAGCGTGCTCAACGACGAGGCCATGCTACATCGCAAGTGAGATCGCATACGACGTCGACGCGCGTACATGCTGCGCAAGGTCGCAACGTGGGCTTCGAGCCGCTTCTCGTCCTTCTTGAGCTGAACGTACTGCTGGTTGCGGTTGTACCATTCGCGGTGCTACGAGGCCGTGACACGACGTCGAGGGCGATGCGTACGTACGACTTTGAGGGCCTCGAGGATGTAGCGGTAGTAGAGGCCGCCCTTCCACGTCGTGCGCTCGGACGG